GAAACAGACCACCATGTCACTGAGCCTTTGAACCCACGGCCCAGACGCTTGTCTCCCCCTGGACTTCCCAGTTAGGAAGGAAGGGACCTTCCTTTAGTACCACCCCACCAGTTCCTTATTTGACTCTAATTGGAAACATCCTGCTCGATAGATGAATGGTATCTAGGGACCCCAAATCCGACTTAAGAATGTATGAGAGACAAACCTGAAAGAAATGAATTCGTGGGCTTTACAAAGAGGAGCGTCATGGTGCACTCAAGAATTCTACAGAAGTTGTCCGCTTCGGCGGCTCATATACCAAACTTGGGGAACAGAACTCTTTGAAAGAAACATCTAGCTGATGGGTGAAGCTGCCAACAGCAACCGCTTGAAGAATGTCATCAACGCCCTTGAATTCTAAATTGTTGAAACGGCGCACGTGCTGCTGTGTACACTTCCCACAACAAAAGTAGTAACACGCAATGCCATCTTGTGCCTGTCGCCGGATGGCGATCCTAGAAAACAACAGCAGGGCGACTGAACCAGAATGATGGGATGTCTGCCTTAGCTCCTAGATGATTTGGGAGAAACAGCAGCAGGGGCAGCAGCAGGTGTTGGCAAAGGCGGCAAAGTTGGAACCCTCAGGGACGGGTCTGAGAACACACGTCGGTACAGCTGCTGCAGTTGCGCAGTAAGTTAACAGACTGAGAGCTGCCTCCGCTCTGACCCAGTGATCCCAATCCTAGAGCAGGAAAGCAAACAGAATCCTGCACACCGATGTGCACTGCCACACTTCTCTGCAAGGCCTGGTGAAAGTAGGCGAGTGGCCCCTGCCAATGAGTGGATAAACGTGGTGCGTCTGCACCATGGGGCGCCACTCAGCCCTGGAGTGAAGTGATGCTGATGCAGGCCACCACATGGACGGGCTCTGCACACCCTCTGCAGTGGCGTCGGTCAGCTGTGCAAAAGGGCCGATGCTGGATGATCTCACTGATAGGAAATAGGCAAGGAGATTGAAAACAAAGCTTACTGGTGGGAAGGAAGGGGAAAGAGGGGATTAAGGGTATGGGGTTTCTGCTAACAGTGACAAAAAAGGATAGTTGAAATGGTTGCACAAGATGAAGAATGTAATAGATGTCGCTAAGTAATACGTGTTACAGTGGCTGAGTTGGCTTTTTTTTTTCCATTTTCGGTCTCATTTTTAAAAAAATCATTTTATTGGGGGCTCGTACAACTCATCACATTCCAAACATACATCCATTGTGTCGGGCATATTTGTATATTTGTTGCCATCATCATTCTCGAAACATTTTCTTTCTACTTGAGCCCTTGGTATCAGCTCATTTTTCCCCTCCCTCCCTCCTCCACACTCCCTCCCTTATGAGTCCTTCATAATTTATACATTATTATTTTTCATGTCTTACACTGTTCAATGTCTCCCTTGACTCACTTTTCTGTTGTCTGTCCCCCAGGGAGGGAGTTAAACGTAGATCACTGTGATCGGTTCTCCCTTTCTACCCCAGCTTCCCCTTCTGGTATCGTTACTTTCATTATTGATCCTGAGGGGTTTATCTGTCCTGGATTCCCTGTTTCCAGCTCTTATCTGCACCAGTGTACATCTTCTGGTCTAGCCAGATTTGTAAGGTAGAATTTGGATTATGATAGTGGGATGGGAATGGAGGGAAGAAGCATTAAAGAACTAGATGGAAAGTTGTGTGTTTCATCGGTGCTGTACTGCACCCTGCCTGGCTCATCTTTTCCCCTTGATCCTTCTAAGGGGATGTCTAGTTGCCTAAAGAAGGGCTTTGCGCCTCCACTCCACACTGCCCCTCCTTCACAATGATATGCTTTTTTATTCTTTGATGCCTGATCCCATCAACACCTCATGATCACACAGGCTGGTGTGCTTCTTCCATGTGGACTTTGTTGCTCCTCAGATAGATGGCTGCTTATCTTCAAGCCTTCAAGCCAGACGCTATATCTTTTGGTAGCCGGGCACCATTAGCTTTCTTCACCACATTTGCTTATGCACCCGCTTTGTCTTCAGTGATAGTGTTGGGAAGGTGAGCATCATGAAATGCTAGTTTAAAACAATAAAGTGTTCTTGCATTGAGGGAGTACTTGAGTGGAGGCCCAATGTCCATCTGCTACCTTAATACTAAACCCATAAATATATGCACATAGATCTATTTCCCCATCACATATATAAATATATTTACATATCTACATGCCTGTATTTAGACCTCTATAAATGCCCTTTGGCTCCTAGTTCTTTCCTCTATTTCCTTTTACTTTCCTCTTGTCCCACTATCATGCTCAGCCTTCATTTGGGTTTCAGTAATTCCTCTGTTACATTGCCCTTGACCAAGCCCTACCAGGCCTCCTAACCAACGATTTTGGATCAGTTGTTGTTCCCTCATCCCTGGGTTTGTTAATACCCACTTTCTTTCCCCCACCTCCCCTTCTCCCATGTCCCTCTGGAACCGTGGGTCCCATTGTCTTCTCCGGATTCTTTCCCCCGCCTATCTTATCTAGATAGACCTGCAGAGATAATAGTATGCACAAAAAAACCCAAGACAGCAAAACAAAGCAACAAAAGAAAACAACAAAAGGAAAAGACTGTATATACATCAAGGTCTGTTTGTTGGCCTTTAGGAGTGTTTTCCGGTTGAATCTGATGGGGTGTCACACCCTGGCCCCAAAGTCTATTTTTGGTATTCCCTGGGGACTTCCTTGCTGTTCCCCTTGCTGTTCTGTTGCACACCCTTAGTGTTTTGCCTCAGTGTGCTGGGGTCACATAGGGTACAATTCCCAGTGTCTCCAGGGTTGTCTCCTATAGAGCTATGGGTCAGTGAGGGATGTCGTGTCTCATAGTGAGGCCAGCCCTATGTCCTCTCTGTGCTTTGGCTGCTCTGAGTGGGAATATTGTCAAGACTTGGTGGGCCACGATGTGCGCCACCCTTTCTCTCCTTTCCTTTGTTCCTGTGTACTCTGATCAGACATGTCACTCTCCCTGAGCTGCAGCTTCAGTGCTGTCCTCTGAAGTGAATTCTTCTGCAGGCAGGGCTGGGGGGCAGAGGGGGGTGGGATGCTGCCCATGTAGTTGGGATTGGGCTGGCCCTCAACCCTCTGTTGGTTTGGCCAAGGATCTTGTCCACTGACCACCACTTGTTCAGCAGCCGTTACACTTGCTCTTTGGTGATTTTATTCAAGTTGGAGCCACAATATCTCAGAGAAGGTGGACTTCCTATCACCACCCAAGGCCAGGTGAATGCAACATGATTGGTCCATGCCAATTACAGCAACCCTATTCTTCAACCCTAGTTTACTTTAGGATGGCATGTAACAGTGGATTCTAAGGTTTTCTGGTGGAAATGGCAAAGTTTTTACAGTGAAAAACCAAACAAAAAACCCAACTTCATTTACCAAAAATAATTAAGAATGTAGAAGCAAAAAAAAAAAAAGAATGTAGAAGTTAGAAATTTGTAAGTTGGGAAATTTTAAGAAATGTGCTATTTTCAGTGTCTGCCAATGCCTGTCTTTAAGCGGTTACATAAATTCACTTAGTTTGCCCTCTTCTTGCACAAGTTCACCATCACACATGCTATAAGCCTGCTAATAAGGAAGGCTGCTGCTGAGTGAAGCGTTCAGAGCAATTCACAGGCAGATGAAGGGAAAATCATGTGCAGAGATGCACTGTGTACGCCTCTACCTAACCTATTCTGACATCATTTTCTGAGGGGATGTGGGGTGGGCAAGGACATTAGTCAGCACTTCTGTCTAGACCAGCGTTTCCCAACGTGGGCAATACTGCCCCCTGGGGGCACCTGGAAGGATGCAAGGAGCTGTGAAATCAGACACCTACACTTGATCCTAGATTATGCGCTCTAAGAGTACAAAAGCTCTTAATTGTCAGTGGGCCGAGTTATTTATTCTGAAAAGGAGGTAGGCCATTAAATTTGGGAACCTATGGTCTCAAACTCAAATTTACTGCCATTGAGTTGATTCCATCTCATAGAGTACAAAGTAGAAAAGTGGAAAGCCCCATCGTTCTCGAGAGGCTGGTGGTTTTGAACAGCTGATTTTGCAGTTAGCAGGCCAACTCCCAACCTACTTTGCCACCCAAGCCTCACACCTACAGTCTAGGCCAGGGGTTGGCACACTTTTGAGATAGAAGAGCTAACCCAGCCCCTCACAATTAACAATTTAAAGACTATTAGAGAGCCATAAATACATTTTTATAAACAAATGAAATCACCATTAAAATGTTCAATTTTTACTTAAGAGCCACATGTAGTACTGAAAGAGCTGCATCCATCTCAAGAGCCCCAGTTACCCCTGGTCTAGTGGGTCCTAAGAGCTACATTCCTCAATGCCTCTCCCTGGGCACAGGCAACCTCAGCCCCCTTCAACTCAAATCTGTTCTCTCAGTTAAACAGGATAACAAAGACAAATTGAACATACTACAAGATCCTGAGACAGGATTCCAGTCTGGCACCTCCCGAGTTGTTAAGAGCAGTCCTTGCCTTGAAACGAAGTTAGTGAGAGAAGCTAGAGGCTTGCAGGAATCCCTACTTGAACCTTGTATGATTACTGAGTTCGCCCTATGCCTGCTGTTGCACACCATTATATTTGCAACACTAGCACAACGGATGGCACATTGTAGTTGTTCAAGAAGTACTTGCTGAATGAGGTCCCACCATGGTCATTGTGGCCAGCTATGTGAGCCACAAGATATAAAAGCCACCGGGGGAAGAAAAGGGGGGTGGGGGAGAGGCAGTGTGTCACATTACTTTCATCCCCACGTTACTGCCAAGATTCTTAAAAAGCCTAGACTCCCCCAAAGCCTAGTGGTAATTGCTCTGTATCTAACAGCAGCTTTAGGTGTCAAACATCAGTGTCCCCAGTGAGGACGGTACACCAGCCAAATAAAGGACAACAATTCCAAGTATGTTAACATTTTGATTGTCGTGCTATCCCGCCAGTTGACTCTGAGACACACATGGAGGATAAACACATGCTCAACATTTAATGATGATTTATTTTTCAGGTTAAGAGGTTTTCAAGTACGTATGTACAAGATAAATAAAACAAATGAAGCTCCGAGAATCGCTGTAGTGCAGAGTACGTAAATATACAGGGTCTGTTCCTGGGATACCAAAACTGTGTCATCAAACACCAAGAAAAACATTCAAGGCGAATGAGACCACCATGGCAAGGAATGAAGACATGTGAAACAGAACAAGAGAAACCCCCCTAAACGTCAGGGTGAAACTTCTTTTCTAGGCCCCCCAGGCTGGTGGCTTTCCTTTTCTGAGTTCCGTTGTTTGTTTCTGGCTCACTGCCGGCCTCTGGTGGATTATCCAGGCTCTCCTCCTCATCAGCCTTCGAGAGAGCAGAGAGAAAGACAAGGAGCCGGGACTGCAGGCACCGTGAGAAAGCAAGCCAGCCCAATCATCTTCCATGGTCTTTGGGGCCCTTTGCACTTAATATGCCCTCCCAAAGCATTCTTGTCAATCTCTCGTAGGTTTTTCTTTCTCTTCCTTAGGTAACCTAACTGCCACACAGTCTGAAGGACACTGTAAGTGAGCAATAGTTAGGGCGGGCTCATCACTCTGTCTCTGCAATCCGTACTTGGGATGGCCCCCTAAGAAAGGTCCATTCCCGGTCCCTACCCTGAGCTCCCACAGTCCCACAACTAGAGCGTCCCTTCTTGGTGTTAAAAAAAAGAAAAATTAGAAAAAATCACCTGAGCCACTCCCCTCTTTGCTGACTAGCCCCAAGGAGTAGGAAACAATGAAGCAGCAGAAATCTGCCCTCTAGTGCTGTCTGCTCTTAGGAGCTTGTAGTGGACAAGAATCAACTAGCCACTCCAGAGTGCAGCACAAATGTAACAAATCTAATAAACACTATTTATACCTATATAGATATGTACATATATGATGTGGTACCCCCCGAACCAGAGTTTTTTCCAAAGCTATGTATTAAATTTTTTTTTTTTTTACAAAACAACCTTATCACCTTCAAAGTACTCTCCATTATACTTAATACATTTGTCAAATTTGCGATTCCATTTTTGGAAATCTTTTTCAAACTCATCTGTTTGGATGGCTAACAGCACCTCGTTTTTTCCCTTCACCTCTTCTAAGTCGTCAAATCACTGTCTTTTTATGTCCCTCTTTAGCGCAGAAACAAAAAAGTTGCACGAACTGAGGTCAGGTGAGTCAGGTGTGTGGGGCAAGAGAGGCATGCTGCTTTTTGCCAAAAACTGGTGCACTGAGATGGGTGTGTGAGCAGGTGCATTGTTGTGGCAAGACCAGTCCCCCGCCTGATACAAATCAAGCCTTTTGTCGCACATTATTATGCAATCTTTTTAAAACCTCTAACTAGGAAGCTTGATTAACAGTCTGACCTAATGGAACAAAATCCAAATGCACTATGAGTCGACAGACGACATCTTCATCAGTTCGGGAAGTTGAGGGATGTCCAGAATGAGCTATGTCATCAATCGACATTTCACCTCTTTTGAAATGAGAAAACCACTTGTACACTTGAGTTTTTCCCATAGTGCTATCTTTGTAAGCTGTGTTCAACATCACAGCTGCACACTGTTCTGTGAAATTGGCCATCACAAAAAAGGAGATTCGAGCACACAAAAAAATTCACTGTGACCAGGGAGAACCTTCCCAGGCGATGCCACTGGGTGCCCTAACTTTAGTGAGTTGCTCAATGCTCACCTAGTGGAAAAAACGCATACTACAAAAACGCTGCTCTGCCCAGCACAACTCCGGTGTTTGGGGGGTACTCCCTTGTACACTTGAGAGGCAGACAACAGTAGTGGGAGCGAAGCTGTACAAATGTCATACCTTCTGCCTCTGTCTTGCATGCTTCTCCGTCCAGTCCCTGGCATTCTTGAGGAAGACCGGCTTATTATATTTATATTCTGAGGACTGAGAGGAAATAAAGAGAGTCCATGGAGAGAACAATGATTTGTAACAGTAAGCTCCGGCAGCTGGAGACAGCTCTCAAAACCAAGCTCACTGCCATCAATCGACTTTGACTCGTGGCGACCCTCCAGGACAGGGCAGAACTGCCTGTGTGGGTGTCCTCGATTGTAAGTCGCACAGGAGCAGAACACCTCCAGTGGCTGGACACTGAGGGGAGCACTTACTATGTCAGCCATGAGTGGGTCATCAGGGTTGGGCTCTGACATAAGCAGCTGAATGGAAGTCAGCACAGTGGCCAGGTTGAGGGACGGCCTCCAGGCACCCTATAGGCAAAGAGGCCGTTGCATTGGTATTACTACAAACGCGACCTTCTAATGCAAGCTGGAAGGAGCCAACTGAGGACCAAAGAAAGCTGTAGCGTCAACCCTCTCCCACCACTCACTTTGGGTGGCAGTTTGAGAACATCCAGACAAATCCTCCCAGCAGAGTCAATGTTGGGATGATAGATTGGAGTCAGAAATCGGATCTGAGGCGGCTCAAATGGGTACCTTTGAAAGTACAGATCAGTGGACATATTTTCACCAAGACAGCTTTTTAGTATATTATAAACAGTCACAAATATTACAGGGGGAAATGTTGGTACTGTGGACATATCATGAAGACAATCTTTGGGAGGCAAACCTTTCCTCTGTCCAACTTCCAACTTTCATTATGGCATTTTCAAACGGTCAGCAGTTAAAACCATGGTATCACGTTCATCGACTCAATACAACTATTCATATACCACTGCCTGGACTCAAGCCATTTCTCAACTACTTCCTACTTCACCAACAATTCTACCTTATACAGGTACGTCAAAAAGTATTGCCACTAGAGGTCCAGTTCATACATGCACGAGTCTATTCTAACCCTGCGTAAACACGTCTCCGCAATCGGTAGACAAGTTCTCTCAGCAAGCTACTTTAGTCTCGTTAGGTGCCTTCAGAAACAGCCCAATAAAAACATTTGCTCCTGAGAGGATCTGCTGGACCAGTTAGATTCAAAGCAGAGAAGTCAGCTTAGAAGGTTAGGGCAACTGTTCTGGGGGATTGTAAAAAATATATATATGAAGGACACAAAATACAGGGGCTTATTAAGAAGAAGTTTGTAGAAAACTGAAAATTTCCTTGATGAGCAAAGGGTCAAAAAGTTGTATGCGGGAATTTTTCTCCATCATGACAGTACACCTGACTTATTCGTCAAGGGCTGTCCGATGAGAATGTCATTGGAAACCTTGCCCCAGTCACTACTGTCCCTAGTTTGCTCCTCAGACTTCTTTTTGTTCCCTAAACTCACAGAACATTGAAAAGAAAAAAGTCTGAGTCTCTCCAGGATGCTCAAACAGCTTTCTTCACTAAACACTGTTCCCATCAAGCTGGTTCTAACACAGGACAAAACCCTGCGTGTGACAGAGTAGAATTGCTGTTGGGTTCTCTTGCCTGTAATCTTTACAGAACAGGTCACTAGGCCTGTATTTCGCTTAGGAGTTGAGTGCAAACTGTTTGAGACACCCAGAGACCTCTAAGTGGCACTGAGTCATGATAAGAGCTAGGATTATAACCCTAGGTCCTTTAATCTCAAGGTGGAAGCTCTGATTTCCTACATTGCTCTCTCTTCCAATAGAATCAAACTCACACTCACCTCTCGGGAATGATCACTTCCAGGTTGAAAACACCTTTTGCATATGGTGTGTTGGCCCCACCTAATATTTCTTAAAAGAAAACAGTAGAAGGGAGTCAGATGACTCGAGTCACCATCACACCACGGGAACCGACCGAGGTCTACTGTCCCCGTAAAGAAGCAGGGTCCAGATGAGCTTGTCTCTCTCCGGGTACTGACAAGTCCGGCAATGCACCGTGAAGCCTACGGCCTCAACAAGCCGATGGTGTCACAACCAGGATCAAGAAATGCTGGCCACACACCAAATACAACCTTGCAGGTTTGGTGGGTTTGGGGTTTTTTTACGGACTGCGATATTCTAATCATTTACACTTCCTGCCTGGAGTCACCCGTTTGAGATGGTGACCTCTGGCCTCATCATTACTTCAGAGCTGATGCCCAAATCCTGGCTATAAATTAGAGCAAACGTTATAATCAAAGGCCAGAGAGGCAAGAAATGTCACGTAAAACTTTCATGCGTGAAGGCAATGAGGACATACAGGTGACGGCACAGCAGCTCCCTCCTTTAGAAGATACAAATGATGGCTGTCGGCATGGGGTCAACAGGCATGAGAGGCGATGATACCCACGAGCTTGAAGGTCATTCCTCTGGTCCTCTTGCCAGCAGGTGATTCCCGGGGGCGGCTCTGTGGCTAACAGGCTCAGCTCCCTCTTCAGACGCGTGGCTCTCTGCATGATCTCCCGGTAAAGGGAACCGCACACAGCTCCCCACTCTGTACTCCCAGCTGGTGGGACTCACTGGAGCAAAAAAGAGGTGCCTACAAAATGATCGTCAGTCACAGTTACTGTAAGTCAAGTCCCTCCACTTTGCTTTTCTTCTTCAGGCATGTCTTAAGTTATTCTTGGCTCTTGTCTATGGATTTTAGAATTGTCTAAAAAAAACCCCAACAAACCACACATATATGTACAAACATAGAAAACTGTGTTTTGGTTTCAATTGTAATACCATGGACTCCATCGGCCTATCTGGGAAGAACTGACATCTTTGTGATATTATGTCTGTTAAGTCCTGAGTGTGATACAGTCCTGTACTTAGGTCTTTTTTTGATGCTTGTCAGTAAGTTTCATAATTTTCGTTATATAGATCTTACCTTTTGTTGGACTGATACTTTATTTTCTGCCTGTTTTCTTACTACATACATAAATAGTTGATTTTTAATTAAAATCTTAGTGATGGGTGGATAAACCAGCCATAATTCTACATTATTTCTTCCTTTCCTATGCGTTTCCTTGATTTCTATTCTGGTTGCAGATTGCAGTACAACGGTGACTGGAAGAGCCGACAGCTGGTATTCTGACCCTGTCTAAACTTAAAGGGAAAGCTTTCAATATTATGCTATGGGTAAGACTGGCCTGCAATTCTTTCTCTAACAGTTTTATTGGGACATAATCCACATAGCATACAATTCAATAGTTCAATCATATCAAGGAGAGTTGTACAATCATTACTACAATTTTAGAACATCGATTCTTTCTCCTCTTAACTATAAATCTAATTTCTTGAAACATTATAACGCTAGTCAAGTTTTCCATTTCTGCTTGAGCCATGTGGCAAGTTAAAAATGTCTAGGAAAAAAAAAAAGAAAAAAAATGTCTAGGAACGTATCTCACCCAACTTTGAAATGTCTTTGCACAAAGCGATCTGTCTCACATCTGCAATCATGCTTTCATTTTCATTCCTAATGTTTCTCTCAACCATCTTTTTTCTCAACTCAACTTATGCAGCAATGTGTCAATTATATTACGCTTGACCAAGACTAATAAAGTCCTTGAGTAGAAATTTTCTATTTCGGTAATTTCTGCTTCTAGCTTTTATTTTTCCCATCTTTCTGTACGTCGTGTGTTTCTTTGAGGTGGTATTTCCGACCATACACTGCCTTCCAGGTACTGCTGCATCCCCTAGTTCGCTATGTACAATATTCTTCATGCTTCTCTCAATGATTTATAATTTTCCATTATGATTTCTTATGACATCAGTTATTTAGAAAGAGTTTCTCAATTTTCAAACACATGGTTTTCTAGTTATATTTGCTATTGATTTTTAATGCGTGATGAGGGCACACTTGTACAGCCTTTGCAATGTCTTGTCTTGTTCTATAATATTCATCTCATGCCTTAACGGCCCATGGGTGCTTAACACAAATATCTATCCTGAGTTACTGGGGGCAATGTCCCATGAGACAAGTCTGTTAATTGTAGTGTCTGACCCTTTTATAACCTATTGATCTTTTTCTTCCATGTGATTGATTTATCAATCATTGTGAGTGATGTTTCATTGGCAGTAGATCACTATGATAGTGAATAGGTCCTTTATTTCTAGTAGTTTCTCTTATATATTTTAGGGTGAACAGGCAAGCTCAGAATTCCTACACATTCCTAGTAAATTATAGCTTTTATCATTATGAGAACCGTAGTAACGCTTGTTCTTCATAGAACGTTTCCTATAAAGCTCTCCTCTGGTTGGCATTTGCCTGTGATATGACTTTCCATTCTATGATATGACGTTTCATCTTTCTGCACCCTTAAACTGTAAGTGTGCCTTTAAAAAACCAGTGTTCTAACGAAACGGATCTGTTGTGTTTAGCACACTTAACATTTATGAATATATCATTTACCAGCTGCTGTAGAAACAGCTGAAATTGTGACCTTTGAATCCCTAGAATTTACAACACGAGTCGGCTGTTGTGTGAAAAGTGGGGCGAGTCCTCAGCAAAGCTAAATACAACGACCGTCTAAGAAAACAAAACAAAGCACGACTCCGGGGGGTCGAGTCCGACTGGAAGCGGCCCTACACCGAGCAGAACCGCTCCGTCGTGTGTCCCAGGTTCCATCCTCTTCCTCCCTCGGAGCGGCCGTGGGGTGAAAGGCCGACGGCCCGGCGGGCCGCCCCGAGCTGCAGCCACTGCGCCACCACGGGACCCCACCTGTCCCTGCCCCCCAGCAGGAGGGCGACGGCCCGCGACGCAGCCTGGGAGAGAGCCTTTCAGTCGCGGCTTTCCTCCAGCTCTCTTCCCAGAAAACGGAAACTCTCCCATTAGACGGAAACGGGCTCCTTTTCCACCCTGTTCCCTCGGGGCGGCGATGCCCCCCTCGGGGCTGCACTTCCAGCTGGGACATCAGGGAACCCGCCCTTCTTACCTGCGCGCGCTCGCCCCCCGCCACAGCGCGTGGACCGCTGCTCACCCGCGCCGGCGCGCCCCGGACGAGGGCGTGGCTCCGCCTCCCGCCCTGTGCGGACTGCGATTGGTGCGCAGCGCGCCCCGGGAGGGAGGCGCGGCCGCTTATTGGTCAGCGCTTCGAGCTTAACTTCCGCTCCCGCGGCCTTCGAATCGGAGCGCGCGCAGTTTCCCCGCTCGCCCTGGAGCGCAGAGTTGCTGAAAAGAAGGAGCTGAGGCCCGGGGCTGCGGGCGGGAAGTCGGCGCGTTTCTGTGGTGGACTGAGATCTGCCGCCTCAGTGGTGGTGGTAGCACCTTGCATTTATACATCATTCTATCGTCACTTGTATGCCCCAGCACGGATTCTCACAGCCATTCGGTTGAGAGTTGGTTATGGGAATGACGTGCCCTGCTTGTTATAGTTGTTAGGGGCTGTGAAATCGGTTTTGTCGTACAGCGACCCTATTATCTGCCACAGAATGAAACACTGCCGGGTTCTGTACCATCCTCACAATTATTAAGTCTGAGCCCATGGTTGCAGCCACTGTGCCCATCCATCTCGGCGAGGGCCTTCCTCTGTTTCACCGCCCTCCACTGTACCAAGCACGAGGTCCTTCTCCAGGGACTAGTTACATGAGACAAATTCTCGCCATCCTTTCCTTTAAGGAGCAGTCTGACGGAACTTCTTCCAAACCAGGTTTGCTTGTTCTTTTGGCAGACCATGGTACTTTTCAATATTCTTTGTCAGATCAGAATTCAAATGCATCAATTCTTCTTTGGTAGCCCTTATTCGATGTCCCACTTTCACACGCACAGGAAGGAATTGAAAATATCATAGCACACTTTAGTCCTCAAAATAACATCCTTAATTTCCAACGTTTGAAGAGATCTTGTGCAGCAGATTTACCCAATGCATTTTGTCATTTCCTCTCTTGATTGTGATTCAAATTGGATGGCCTCTTTGGGTTTCCCCAAAGAGTGTAAGACCAACCTCTAGAGACAATCCCCCAACTCCCTGAGAAAGATAATTTCCGCTTGACAGCTTCTCTACCAACCCTTCATCCCATAAATGTGTTTATAGATGCATTTTATTTTGCATGTTTGGACTGTTAACCACAAGGTTGGCAGCTCAAAACCACCAGCCACTCTGAGGGAGATAGACAAGGCTTTCTACTGTAAAGAGTTACAGTCTCAGAAACCCACAAGAGCAGTTCTACCCTGCCCTTTCGGGTGGTAGTGAATCAGAATGGACCAGCTAGCAGTGAATTTGGTATTGGTTTGGAAGGGTTCAAGTGGACGCTTAATAACAGTCACTTCCTAACTTTGGAAGTTGATGAAGACTTTGGAACAGTAGGCAATTACTTGCTAGGGGTAGTGCAAACGGGCGCCTTCCTTTGAGTGGACATTTAGAAGACACAGATGGCTTTTAAGCCCTTTTCCAGCTCTGGTGATAGTGGCTGAAGCACTTGACTGCTAACCAAAAGGTCGGCTATTCAAGCCCACCTGCCGCTCTGTGGAAAAAAGATGTAGCAGCCGGATCTTGTAAAGATGTAGTCTCCGAAACCCAAAAGGAACAGCTGTGCTCTGTGAGTCTGAATCAACCGAAAGCCAATGGGTTTGGTTTGGGCTTTGGGTTCAACTGTAAAACTGTACTTCCAGACCAAAGAAATGTCTATTTATAGCTAAGCCAACCTTGCTTCTCAGAGCTGTCTGTACCGAAGCAAATGCCCCAATGAACTCAGGGATGGCTCCGACCAGCCTGGAATCTGAAGGATGTGGCTGAAACTGGACCAGCCTTTGGGAATGCTAACTGACTGCATGGATAAGGTGAGGGAGGGGATGGCAGTGGGAAGCAAATGACCTCATCTCACTCCTCTTACCTCATTTTGTGACTTTGGAACAGTGGTGCTATAGGAGGAATGGCTATATTTGTGAACATTATTTTGGTCACTGCAATACTTTCAAATTGGTGCTAAGGAGTAACTGTTTCCCGTGACCACTGTGCGGTCTGTGAGCTCCCATTCAGAGACTCGCAGCTCCACGAGGACTGTCCACGAGTCTACCCCGAGGTGCCTGTCCATCGTTTTAGAAATAATAGACCAACTAACGTCCTGGCGGGTTATATACAAAGACTCCTGTAGCGGTACAGTCCCCTTTCCAGTGAGCTGCTAGGGTTTCGCATTCAATGTGAGCATGTACTCAATGTAGCGAAGAGCTTTTTGTCAGAGTTCTGGACTTGCGACTCCTTTTACAAACTAATTTCCTCCGCTTTACTCCCATCGATGCCTTCCTAACCGTAACCGTGCCTCAATTCTTGTTCTAGCCTCAGCACGCCAATGAAGTACTTACTTGGTGATTCTCTAAGAAGCAGATCTTTAAAACTATGTCTAGGAAAAGGCAGAGACTGTGTGATGTCTGGTGGAAGCAGGTAGCATGACCAAGCAAGCAACCCAATGGAAAGGCTTGAAGGAGACGTTAAAAGAAACTCCAGAGCTAAGGTGCGGCTTCCTGCGTCCACCAGAGGGCGGCATTGAACCACCTGGCGGGAATCGGGCTCCGCGGGATGCGTGGATGCACTGCACGCACAGGTGTCCTTGCTTCAGAAAGCAGCGTGTTCCAACGTGGCCATTCAGTTTTCTAAAATGTGGGCCTAGGGAATTACTGCTTTATAGAACGTCTTGACTTAATTAAAGAACACATCAGAACCGTCTCACCTAGTACAAAAAATTGCATTTTATGTGTATAGAATTTGACAAGATGTATTCACTTCCATACAAATACAAGGGGAGTCTTGGTGGAACAGCGATTACATGCTCGGCTGCGGACTGCAAGGTGAGGCGTTTGAAACTACCATCCACTCCTGGAGAGAAAGACAGGTTTTCCACTTCCATAAGGAACAATCTCAGAAACCTACAAGGACAGTCCAACCTTGCCCTCTGGGGTCACTGTGAATCGGATTTAACTTGGTGGCAGTGAGGGCTTTTAACAATATATATCCAAGTATAAAAATGTTTTTTCTTTAAAATATTTACTTTCAAATTTCAATCACAATGTTTGCTTGGTGAGATGAGTGTGCGAGTTTATTAGTCAAGGGGGAAGAGAAGTTTCAAGTAAACAACAACAACACAACAAAAATAGGAACTCTGATAGGTGTGACAAAAAAAAACACCTTTCCGGAACATCCTAATATTGACACTGAAGTCTTCTTGCTGAAATTTAAGGTGCTATCTCTTGGGAGAATAAAGATTTAACTTGGACTTGCTCATAGCCTCTTTTTACAATGAGAACTAATTATTTTTTTCTTTCCTGATGCTGAATCAAAGATAATGGAGACATGGAAAATAAAATTGCCTCTAAAAAGGTGCCCATTTGAAGGCCAAATAGCCATAAAAGATACAGCCCAATTTTATGTATTTTGAAAGCAGCAATCATTTTTCCCAGGAGGGTTCTCTGAATGTGGTGCATTTGGGTGACTAGCAGGAGGGTGTCCCCTGAAATCTTAGCGGTTGTTGTGTGTGTTATGTGGCAACAGGACCCGGCTCTTCCTTGTGCATTTCCTTGTCAGATTGGTAGAGTTTAGCTAAGAATGGTTTCTTGAAAAGGGTCAGGCTTCAATCAACCTTCTTTCCTATCTGATTGAACATCAATATTTCTTCTATCCTTAAGGGAGAATTCTATTTGGAAGCTGGCGGGAAAGTTTAATTGTTCACAAGTTTAACTTGGAATAAGAAGAGATGCTGTGTCGACAAGTGAAAAAGTCAATCTCATCAAGAATTTTATTTTTTTTAAGGTCATTTTATTGGGGGCTCTTACAGGTCCTATAATATACATGAAGTGGTTCCAGCATATTTGTAGATATGTTGCCATTATTTTACAAACATTTACCCTCTAGCTGAGCCCTTGGTATCATCTCCTCTTTTTTTCCTACCTTCCCTCACCCCCCCCCCCCCGGGATCCCTTGATACACTATAAATTATTATTATTTTCATATCTAACACCAACCACTGTCTCCCTTCATCCACAGTTTCTGTTGTTCGTCCCCCTGGATGGGGGGGTGGGGGTGGGGGTGGGGAAGGTGTTCATCCAGAACTTCAATTGCAATAAATGAGGAAGCATGTTGTGTGTTGACTATACCTTGATTATTTTATGCACGTTGTTACCCACCATTCGCAATGCTGCTCTAAGGCTTAAATCGTATTTATAAAGCATTGGAAATAATCCAATGAAAGCATACATTAGATGCTGTCTGTAGTTGCCACCGAGAAAGCTCTGACTCATAGACACCCTTTGTATAACAAAATGAAACACTGCCCAGCCCTGCACAGTCTCATCGTTGTTATGCTAGAGCCCATTGTCACAGCCACTGTGTCCAGCCATCTCCTGGAGGATCTTCTTTTTTTTTTTTTTGCATTGACCCCACTGCTGTAGCAAGTATAATATTCTTCTCCAGGGACTTGTCTGTCCTAGTAACATGTCCAAAATACATGAGACAAAGCTCTTCATCCTCATTTTAAAGAACATGCTGGTTATACATCATCCAAGACAGATTATTTGTTCTTCTGGCAATCCACGGTACTTTCATCATTATTATATTTGCAAACACTTGAATTAAAATGTGCCAATCCTTCTGCAGTCTTCCTTATTCCTTGTCTACTTGCACATGCATATGAGGTGATTGAAAATACCATGACTTGGAAACAAAACAAAAAAGAACATACCATAGCTTGGTTCATGTGCATCTTAGTCCTCGGATGACATCTTGGGTCTTCAACACTTGAAAGGGGTCCTTGTGCAGCAGATTTTCCCAATGCAATGTGTCCTTTCATTTCTTTGACTGCTGTTCCCCTGAGTGTTGATTGTGTATCTAAGTCACATGAAATCCTTGACCAGCTTTCTTGGGAACCCCCAGAACAGGTATCGTAAGCTCTTCTGTTTTACTGTATATGTCTCAATCATGGCTGGGATCCTACTTCAGGAGTCCCACTTGTAATGAGGATATATTAATTGCCACCAACCATGTTTGGATGACAGATTCCTCTGACCTCTCATGTCCTTTTTAAAGCGCTGGATCTCAGCAAACCTTCTTAGACACCAGTATCGCCTTGTGCTAATGTTCTCCCTCACCCAGATGGTAGGTCTCTCTAGTTGTCTTGTCCTTGTCCCACTTAAGGATGAATAAATGTTCCCATTAAATAAAAAAAAAGAAGGAAAGAAAAGAACAGAATGTCCTATGGGCTGCCAGAGGAACAAACACATTTATCTTGAAAGAAATACAGCCAGAAAATGCTCCTTAACAGCTAGGATGACGAGACTGTCTCATGCACTTGTTTTCTGCCTCCTTTGAGCAACTCGTTTATTTCAGTTTGTTCTCCAAGAAGGACTCTTAATGAGATGGATTGACACAATGGTTCCAACAACGGGCACAACTAGGATGTTGAAGCCCTGGGCCACATTTTGCTCTGTTGTACAGAGGCCGGCTGTGACTTGGAACGGATTCCACAGCGAGCACCTAACAATAACTCTCAAACTCACAATTCTGACTCATTGTGACCAAACAGGACAGGTAGAACTGCCCCTGTGAGCTTCCAAGCTTGCAACACTTGGGGGAGTAGAGAGCTTCATCTTTCTCTAGCAGAACTGGCTGATGGGTTTGAACTGCTGACTTTGTGATTAGCAGCCCAACTTGTAATCAGTACTCCACCAGGACTCCCTAACCACAACAATTTATTGTGAGCTGATATGTGGATTAGGCATTAGGTTGCTAATTGGTTGGCAGTTCCAAACTGCTAGTTGCAAGAGGCAGAGGAGGCTGCCTGCTCCTATAACGATTTACAGTCTCTGAAGCTCTAAGTGGGGTTGCCATGAGTCAGCTGGGTGGTAGCAAGTTTGCTTTGGGTTTTGATATGTGCCAGGGACAGTACCAGGCATATACAGTATTACCTCATTTGATCCACATGACTATCCTGTGATCTATTATTACTCACATTTCACACATAAGGAAACAGGCTCTGAGAAGTCATTTATACAGAAGAGTCAATGAATGGATATTTGGATTTAAAGCTTATACTCTTTCCACTGTACTTCTCAAGTATTTGTCAAGACTTTTTGGGGGTCTAGAATAAATGTCCTGTTGAAACTGTTTACATACGACTGTGATGTGTAATATCATATGTGTACATATGTTCCTTCATGCTTCCCCCTCCCCCCCGCAAAACATTTACATTTAATAAATGTGGATTTGGGATAGCGATTCCAAGTTTTTCAGGTACTTTGTGTCTGTTTTCCCCACGTAGAAAATAGGGACAATTACTATCCATTTTCCAGCCAAAAGAATGAAGTGATGATTTAGGAGCTAAGATTAGAAGCCATAACACGAAAAAACTACGACTCCCAAAATCCTTAGTGGAAGCTGCTGACACCAATTCAGGGCACAACCCACCCTTTAGGGAAAAGGTGACCCCGTAGGGAACCGCGGCAAGCAGTCACCAGGTAGTCCTTGCCTCTTTTCGGCTGCATCCAGGGATTTGTAGTTCCCCGAAGGCCACAGCGTGCCCTTAGTGCCGGTACTTTACTACAAGTCCCGTGAGGACCCGGGGCCCGGGCAGCGCCTGCGCGTTGAGGTCCGGGGAGAGTGCGGGCGGAGCTAGTGGCGGGAGAAGTAAAGATGGCGGCGCAGGGGTCTCCGCCTTCTGCGCCCGGCTGAAAGGCTGTGAGGGAGGCGACAGCGGCGACGGGAGTAGCAACAGCCATCTAGCAGCGATACTTTCGGCGGCAGCAGCTGTTGAGGCCGGAGCAATGGCGGAGCTGGAGCACATAGGCGGGAAGCGGGCAGAGTCGGCGCGAATGCGGCGGGCTGAGCAGCTTCGGCGCTGGCGGGGCTCGCTGACTGAACAGGAGCCCGCGGAGCGGCGTGGCGCGGGACGGCCGCCGCAGAGTCGTCGCGGGAGCCCCAGGGTGCGCTTCGAGGACGGTGCTGTCTTCCTGGCTGCCTGCTCCAGCGGGGACACCGACGAGGTGAAAAAGCTTCTAGCCAGAGGCGCCGACATCAACACCGTCAACGTGGACGGCTTGACAGCGCTGCACCAGGTAACTCCCTTCTTGCTGCCGGCGTCCAGTCTCCTGCAGATGAGCCCGAGACACCCGCGAGCTACCCCCTGGAGAGGGTTCTTGTCGCGGTGGCCCCCGGCCCCCGGCATAGACACCGGCCCGTGTGGACTAGCCGGTTTCATCCTTGGTCAGTTTCCTCCGCCGATCAAGTCTCTTTGCGACCCCAGGGTCTGTACCTCAAGGAATAGTGTCATCCAGCTGCCTGGTCAGTGTTTGTATTTCCCTCCACCTCCTTGGGTTGTCATGGTTACTGGAGACCGGGCCCTTGGTGTTATCCCCAAAGATTAGTCCTCTTCTCTTGTCTCGCGGCGTGCCTGTACACCACGCCAGTCACCTGCAATCGTCAGTGTCTTGCCTGATGGCCTTTCAGAAAATTCTGTTTTCGTGTCTCTATCGTGAAATCAACGAGAGACCAGCAGATCTTTTGCAACCACACCTGTTATTTTGCTCATATGTAGTGCTTCCCTACCAGTTTGTGTCTCCCCTGGGCTCTGCCTTCTAGAGTGCCCGATGGCATTGTCGGGGGTGCCCTCTCCGCTTCTTCCCAGCATTGCTGACCTCCCTAAGGACTTCCTCTGAGAACCCACCCTCGGGATCACTTAGCTTTGTTTGATATCTACGGAATAACTTTTACGTTTATCTTTTGCTTAAGGCCCCCTATAATAACAATTACAGGCCAGCATGTATTTTAGAAAGTTTGCGGAAAAATTCCTTTATCATTTCATTCCGCTTTTCCACACACTTTTTGAAGCTCCCTCGTGTGTGTGTGTGTGTGTGTGTGTGTGTGTGTGTGTGTGTGTGTAAACACACACAGTTCTCCAGTCTGAGCCCTGAAGAGAAGGTCATTTAGTCCTATCATTTAGTTTGAGATGATTTGGGCTCATCTCTTGATTGAAGTTTAATAAAGGCATTTCATTTACAAGTATTTTTTTAGCAACACACTACCAGTATTATTAAACAGG